AGGGTCCTGCAGGGGTTTGTTGGGGTCTGTCGGCGTCTGTAGGGGACTGTAGGAGTCTATAGGGGTCCATAGGGATCCCTAGGGGCCTCTAGGGGTCTACAGGGGTCTGTAGGGGCCTGTAGGGTTGGCCCCACTGGTGGAGGACCCTGTGCCCAGGACCCCCAGGGCAGGTCTGGCTCCTGCCTTTTGGGGACCCTGTGGCTCACGTCAGGGTTGGTGCTGCTCCTTCCCTCCCTCCTCTCTCCATCTGCCCGTGTCCAGGGAGGGACGGAGCCTGAGCCCTCTCGGGCCAGGAGCAGTGAAGGATCCAGACCCAAAAAGCCCCAATTCCTGACGGTGACAGATCACAGCCCTTCCCAGGCCACGGCACCGTCACGGCGGCAGCAGCCAGAGGTGCCAGGATCACTGGGATCTCACACACCCCAGCTGGATCTAAATTCTGGGGAGCAGGCTGACCTTTTCTCACCTTTCATGTTGGTTTTTTTGTTTTTTGTTTTTTTTTTTAAAAAAACTCAGACTAAAGACAAACTGAAGCCACCCCGAACCCGGCCAGTGGCCCCGAGACATCCTGCCGGCGACACAGAGCCGCTCCAGAGCATCCGCAGCTCGACAGGAAACCGGCAGCAGTAAGAGGATAAAAATACCCCTGGGTGCAAACAAAACCTCTCTGTGCCGGGATTAGGGGCTGCTCCAGCCCCCGGTAATCGGGGCCGGGAGCGGAGGGCACCGGGGCTGGGCCACAGCGGGGGCTTTGGCTTCCAGCACACGTGTGGGATCAGGGCTCTAAGCCCGGCCAGCAGCTGCCTGGGGAGTGGGGGTAGCGAGGGGGGGGATGCTCGGGGAGAAACCAGACACCCCGGCCCCCAAATGCCCCCCTGGAAAAGGGGTGAGACCACCCAGAGCCCCGACACCCAAAGCCTTTTGTGGATTCCACAGAGACAGCACACGTGTGGGATCAGGGCTCTAAGCCCGGCCAGCAGCTGCCTGGGGAGTGGGGGCAGCGAGGGGGGGGATGCTGGGGGAGAAACCAGACACCCCAGCCCCCGAATGCCCCCCCGGAAAAGGGGTGAGACCCCACAGAGCCCCGACACCCAAATCCTCTTGTGGATTCCACAGAGACCCAGCCCCAAGGAAGGGTCCCCCCATCCCCGTTGAAGGACCCTGCCTTGGTCCTAGGGAGAGGAGAGGGATGTGGGGAGCAGGGGGTCCCGTGCTCCCTGCCTCAGCCCCCCCAAAGCTCCCAGCCCCACATCCTGGCTCCCCATCACCCTCCTGGAAAAGGGGTGAGACCACCCAGAGCCCCGACACCCAAATCCTCTTCTGGATCCCACAGAGCCCCAGCTCCAAGGAAGGGTCCCCCCATCCCCACTGGGGGATCCTGCCTTGGTCTCAGGGGGAGGAGAGGGATGTGTGGGGAGTGGGGGGTCCTGTGCCCCTCACCTTGGCCTCCCTACACCTCCCAGCCCCCACATGCTCCCCTGGAAAAGGGGTGAGACCACCCAGAGCCCCGACACCCAAAGCCTTTTGTGGATTCCACAGAGACCCAGCTCCAAGGAAGGGTCCCCCCATCCCCGTTGAAGGACCCTGCCTTGGTCCTAGGGAGAGGAGAGGGATGTGGGGAGCAGGGGGTCCCGTGCTCCCTGCCTCAGCCCCCCCAAAGCTCCCAGCCCCACATCCTGGCTCCCCATCACCCTCCTGGAAAAGGGGTGAGACCACCCAGAGCCCCGACACCCAAATCCTCTTCTGGATCCCACAGAGCCCCAGCTCCAAGGAAGGGTCCCCCCATCCCCACTGGGGGATCCTGCCTTGGTCTCAGGGGGAGGAGAGGGATGTGTGGGGAGTGGGGGGTCCTGTGCCCCTCACCTTGGCCTCCCTACACCTCCCAGCCCCCACATGCTCCCCTGGAAAAGGGGTGAGACCACCCAGAGCCCCGACACCCAAATCCTCTTGTGGCTCCTGCAGAGCCCCAGCTCCAAGGAAGGGTCCCCCCATCCCCACTGGGGGATCCTGCCTTGGTCTCAGGGGGAGGAGAGGGATGTGTGGGGAGCAGGGGTCCCATGCCCCCTGCCTCAGCCCCTCAAAGCCGCTCAGCTCCACATCCTGGCCCCCCAACATCCCCCTGGAAAAGGGGTGAGACCACCCAGAGCCCCGACACCCAAA